CTCTCTCTCTCTCTCTCTCTCTCTCTCTCTCTCTCTCTCTCTCTCTCTCTCTCTCTCTCTCTCTCTCTCTCTCCAAAAGAAAGCAAGAAAACTACGCCTTCTCTTTTTGCGAGCTCTTGAAAGGCTGAAACCTAGATCAGCACATGGGCAATACAAAGACGGACCCGCAGTGGGATTTGTGGAGCGTTTTGGGGGGACGCCACTCAGTCATAAGCTCAGGAAAACTTTGAAAATTAAAATCAGCTTCAGAGGACATTGCAAATTGCAATCATGCAGGAAAATCATGGAACTTTATGATTTTTTTTTTTTGGACCATTTCTCGATTTATCCGTGTCATCCTTGCGCAGGGCCCATGCTAATCACCCTTCTCTGTATCGTTACAATTTTAACGGATGTCCTGAAGGACACGGAACTTTAGGAATTTAATCAAGCCACATGGCCAAAAAGTAGAACTGGATCTTGAGGAGAAAGTGGCAAGATGCCTCGATTACCATTCATAGCAACGGATGCATCTTGCCACTTTCAGGGGAAGATGCACTGGTACTTTTTTCGTTTTGACAGTGGTGTAGTCTCGAGCCATAGTCTCACAGAACAAAACACAGCAAAAACACCTCAAAGCATCATCTATGCGCATTGGGACAAAAATCTGAAATCATCATGTTTTGCTTAAGGATGCTAGGAATGAACCTACCTCAAAGTTGAACATTCGCAACATCTCCTTCATCTGGTTCTCTCTGATGCCTTGAGTTGCAGGGCTGTTATCTTTGAACACCTTGTTCAGTTGCCACTCTGCTATCTCGCCTGAAATCCACTTCGAAACGTCACCAAAAGGCAGAGGAACGAAGACACCATCAGTGTGTCAACGTAGCTGAGGTCAGGTCAGGTGGTCAGATCATGTCCGACCATGTCAGATCATGTCTGGCCATGTCCGATTACATCAGATCAGGTGGTCACATCATGGCGGACCATGTCAGATCAAGTCAGATCAGGTGGTCACATCATGTCCGAGCATGTCAGATCAGATGGTCACGTCATGCCCGGCCTTGCCAGATCAGGTGGTCACATCATGTCAGACCATGTCAGATCCGGCAGTCAGATCATGCCCGACCATGTCAGATCAGGTGGTCACATCATGTCCGACTATGTCAGATCAGATCAGATCATGTCAGATCCGATGGTCAAATCATGTCAGACAATGCCATATGTGGCAGTTAGATCATGTCAGATCACATCAGATCGTGTCGGGCCATGTCAGATCATGTCAGACTGGTGGACATATCATGTCTGATCACGTCAGATCGGGTGGTCAGATCATGTTAGGACATGTCAGATCAGATAAGATCATGTGAGACCATGTCAGATCTGCAGTCAGATCATGCCCGACCATGTCAGATCTGGTGGTCAGATAATGTCTTACCCTGTAAGATCAGGGCAGATCATGTCAGATCCGTCTGTCGGATCATGCCAGACCATGTCAGATCCACAGTCAGTAGCCATGAGCAGTCAGATCCTGTCCGGCCATGTCACATCTGGTAGTCAGATCATGCCTGATCGTGTAAGACTGGGGCAGAACATGCCAGATCCGGTGGTCATACCATGTCAGATTATGTTAGATTATGTCAGATCCGGTAGTCAGAGTAGATCAGCTGGATGCATATCTTCACAGGCAGGCACATTTTTTCTGTCATCTGCAGATTATGATGGAGATTTGCACAGTTAGACCCCAGCCTTTCCAAGTTCGCAGGTTAGCCCACGGACTTTGCAGTTAGGTGTAACTCTTCGGAGCAGAAATGAAGTTGATGAAAATAGTAACAAAGAAATGGAAATAATAGTGAAAAACGATTTCAGTTGTGGGTGAGGGGAAAGAGGGCTGTGGGGGGGAGGAACACAGTGCTAGCTTGGAGCTATCTGCATGAGCAGCAGGCATTGCCAGGGCCATGGGCTCTTGAGAGGGTGTAGCCTTGCCTGCCACTGATGATAGGGGGATAGTAGGGTAAGGGGGGGAAGGAATGAAAAGGAGGGACGAGGAGGAAGGTAGGGCGGTGGGGGTTGCAGGGTGTGGGTTAGGGAGGGGGTACGATAACTACATTGAAAACATATTTATCACTCCCTCCTCCCCTTCCCTCCCCCCCCCTTCCTTTTTTTTTAACAAAACACCCTTACGGCAGACCTCTATTCTGGTGGTGGTGAGAGCACCACTGGGATTGAGGCTTGCCAGTGGGATGGTTCCAAATCTATTGGTGGGGAGTGGCACCTGCTGGAAAAGGGGTCCAGCATCCCTTTTATTGAGAATGAAGCACACTTGCTGGAAAGCGGATCCAGTGTCCCTTTTATTGGAACATTTATATCTGTTTTTCTGGGTATTGACCGTGGGCTCTCGGCCCTACCCCAGTCGACCCCTCCTGCCTCCTTCCCGTACCCCCTTCCCCTTGCTCCAGTCACTCAGATTCTCTTGGATGGTCCCATAGTGGAGAGTTCTTTTTTCTTTTTTCTTCCCAAGAAGTCCAGGTTGTTGTAGAGGCTGGCTACTACTAGCCTACTAGTCATATGACAGGCCCGTCAGCACCTGACCATTTGATCATCCTGATGCATTCCCTAACCAGTCCCCTATGAGACACCCTCCCATCCTGATGTATTGCCTGACCATTTGATCATCACAATCCCCGGCGCATCCCTACTCCCAAGGTCCTACCTGAATCAACCCAGGATCATCACCCATTCTAGTGATCTTTGACCAGACAGCGGTTATTGGCATCAGGGCTAAGCAGACTCTCACCTCCCTCCCCAGCCCTGATTGAAGCACTATCGAACAAGCCACGTCGTACCAGGCACTTTGAGTGCTACATGCCACTACAAGCCCCATAGGCAAACCCTAGTTTTTTCCTGTTTTTCAGAGAGATCCTAGCCTTATCATCATCAGATCCCTCTGGTTATTCTTTGAATTCTTGCGAAGGTTATTTGAACCTAGAGCATCTCCAGTTTCTGTCCTCAGTGGGTTTACGGCCACCATCCACCCCCCATACATCTATCATCAACTGGATGTCTTGGCATTCTATTATCATCCCCCAGAGTAACTCCAGTTTCCGTCCTCAGCGGGTTCACTGTCACCATCCGCTCCCCCAACCTCTATCATCAACGGGAGCTACTCTGGGCTATTCTAATTTGACAGTATTCTCCATGCAGTTAACAGACCAACCTTCACCCCCTAAGACAGCCTCTAATGCAGGTTACCCGACGATATCCTCCACCAGGGCCTATCCCAGCTCTATGTCAACCCAGAGGACTGCTAAGACATCCACCACCACAGGGGCCCCAACCCTCCAGTACGGATAATGTCCAACCAACCCTGCCCCCAGCGGAGTCCCCAATCAAATCCCACCTAGAACCCATGCCCCCCAAAGCTGAGCCCTAAGGTAACCAATACCACATGATCAATCGCCCACAACCCTAGTCTCGTGAACTCTTTTTTTCGGTATCAAACCTCGAACCGGGAACCTCATGCTTATCAGTAATCAGTGTTAACCTACTGAGCTACAGTCTCAAATGGTCTGAACCTCTGCTATGCTGAGCTCGAGTAAGGGGGACACAACCCCATGGACCAAGTGTGCAAGCAAACCAATCATAGTCTAGACCCAACTTACAACACCATGGACGATCCCTTGGGTGGTGCGCAGGCAGTGTCTTTAATAGCTTACCTGCGTCAGCCCAAGGGGGTATGCAAGTGACCGTGCGTTAATAGTGGAGAGTTCTATGTTCCCCTGTTGAACTACCCATCCCGTCCATCTATGCACCCATGGTTGAGGCCCCCAACCCTGCTATATCAGATCCGTTCTCCCAGTCTGTGTTTCCTCATTCCTCTCCCCCACTCATCTCCTTCCTAACGCACAGTGACCCTGTGTCGGTCTTGATGGTTGTGAGAGTCATGCTATCATCCTCCTGTTGTCCTTAATCCGCCCGCATCTTGGTCCCGGATATGTCTTTTGCTCAAGCTCCATTATTGTAACCAGCCAGTCAGGGGTAGGTAAACAGCCGTATAAGATCTGCCATTGGAGGGCTCTGTGGGATATTGGCATTATGTGTGCGTACTGAGACCGCCGGAAGTCCTGCAGGTCCTCTGGTGGGAGAATGGAGTCCCTTTTCCATCTTCTTCTTACCAGTCCATCTTTCGGCTGTATTTTATGTACTTTACGGTACCCCTGTTTAACTGTGTACTGCCACGGTTTGAGGGCGTTGGTAGCTCCCTCCTGGGGCCACTCCCATTCGATAGGGTCAACGGGAGGGTGGTGATGGGGGAGGTCGGTTGGAATACAAAGAGGGACTGATTTGCTCCCTCGAGTGCCCTTGCTCTGACCAGGCCCGATCAATTGTAGACTTGATTTGCCTCCCAACACACGCAAGTACAACTTAAACTTGGACCAACTGGGTCTTGAAATTGGGAACAGGCCCCACATGTGTTATGTTGATGCTGGGAAAGTACAAACCTTACCATACTAACCACCAGGTTCATGCCTTCCTAGCATGACCCTAGCACTGGTGGGGCCCTCCAAAATGTGCTCTCTTCGTAGTGCTTTTTTTCTGTTTTGTTTTTCCCCTGTAATCCCCCTGTGCCTTCAATAGCCTTGGCAGACCCCACCAATACATAAGCAGCTGTAGGGAGTGGGGTCTCGTAGAGTCGGCCAGAGGAGGCCTGCTGCAGCAGCCCAAAAAGAGAAAAAAAAATAAAAAATGGCTGGCAGCCTGCAGCATGGGATCACAGGTGGCAGCAGTAGGAGCCCCCAGTAAAACAGAACTTGGGGGTGCATGTGGGATGTGCCCTAAGACGTCCATTGGGGGTATAAAGGGGGAGTTAAAGGAGAAAATAGCGTACCCCAATCGTTTCTGTCAAGAATACGCTCCCGCACAGTTGGAACCTGAGAAAAGGGCCCCAAAGATGTGAAAGCCACATACACCACCACCACCACCACTATTTGTTATTCATTTTTATTTTTTTTAATGAAACAAGTGGACCTGCCACAGCTACGCTGCGGCGAAGGACGATGACAAAACATTTTGCAAAACACCCCAGCCATCAGTTGGATCGCATCTTTGCAATGTGCCCCTACTGGACGCTGCCCATCTTTGCAAAATGCCCCAGCAGTTGCTAAGTTTTCACACACACACCGAAAAAAAAGAAAAACAGTGTATATCTCCATGTTCTAGCGGTAGAGTCATTCAATTTTGCTCATCCTATCGATGGAAGT